GAATAGAAATGACTCTTGAAGTTATAATTCAAATTATTTTAAGAAAAGTATTAAGACTTTATTAGCAAAGAAGTATAAAAACTTCTTGCAAACATCTTTTTTATGTGATCAGAAGATCAACAGAAAGAGTTTTTTATTATTGAATATTATATTATAAATTCAATATTTTAATTCTTTATAATGATTTATAGATTTTTTTATTAAGTTTAATATTAAAGACTATAGAAATTTAAGAAAACTTTATGTTTTAAAGTTAAAGATACTTTATTAAATAAATAAATCTATTTTTTATTATTTTTATAATAATATAATCAAGTTAAAATAATTTCAATTAAATTTGAATATTGATTTTTAGATAATAATTTTTAAATAGATTATATAGATAATTATTATCTAATTTATTTAATTTAAAATAAAAAATAATTATATTTGAAAATATTAAATAATAATTAGATCAATAAATACAAAGTTTATTATTTTTAAATATTATCTCTTGAAGAATTAAAGCTTGTATTTTATAATTAAATCTATAAAATATCAACTATTATATTATTAATACATAAATCAATTAAAAAAATTATTATATTTAAATATTCTAATTTTTTATTGATGTTCTAATCATATTAATTTAAAAAATCTCAAGAATTACTATTATATTTTTTTTTCTTGTTTATAAATCTTTGATTAAAAAATTAATTTCTAATAATAAAAAAAAAAGTCAAATAATATTTTTATATTAATAACAAGAAAGTTTTTTTAAAAAAATTAATTATAAAGTATTTGAAGATTTTTTTATATTTATAATAAATATTAATAGTTTTTCTGTAATAAAAAAGTTTAATTTTTTTTTTTGTCAATTGTTTTGACACTATTAAAATTTTTATTTTTATAATTTTTTAAAGAATTTTATTTATCTTAGTTTGATTCTAAATTTTTAAATATTAAAATTTTTATCAAAATTAATTTATATTAAATATATTAATTTTTAAATATAAACAAGTTATTAGTGATTATAATATATGTTTTATAATAATATTATTAATAAAAAAAATCTATAAAGAAGTTTTTTTTTCAATTAAGTTTTCAATAAATATACTTATAATAAAAAATAAAAAAAGAATTGTATAATATATTAACTTATATTTCTTATTAAGTTTCTTAAAAGAATTAATTTTGATCAAATAAGTTTTAGAAAACCTTTTTTATTTTAATCAAATAATTTTATAATATAGTATTGATTCTAAGATATAATAAATATTGTAAATTTATATATTGATAAAAAAAATAAGTTCAAATATTCTTGATGAAATTCATATAAAAATAAATAAGTTTTTCAAATAATTTGTAAGATAAAATTTTTTGAGAAAGTTGTAAACTAAAATAAAATTTTTTGAAAGCTTCAAATTGTTTTTTATTTTTTTTTTTTTTAGTATAGTAATTATTTTTAAACCAATCTATAGTAATAAATTATTGATAAAAATTCAAATATATAAAAGTTATTTGTATCAATTTATCAAGTAAAATTTTGTTCATTAAATCTGACTTAGAATACTTAATTGAGATATTAATTTGTTTAGTTCAAATTAGCTTAATGAACTTTTCCTATTTTTAAAGTAATGTAATCCTTCAATTAATAATATACAATGACAAGTTCTTGTTTGAATTGTTTATAAAACAGAAAATCATTTTCAAAATTATATTTAAAGTTTAACGGTCAATAAAGTCAAAGTTTAGTGCTAAAAATAAAAAAAAAGAATCTGAAAATATTTTAATTTATACTTTTCAACCACATAAATTTTTATTTCGCACAATCTACAATTTTAAATTAAAAAATTGCTATTAAAAATATTAAAAGCAATTGTAACCGCGTCGCTCGGCTAAAATCCTTTTAAAACGACTGAAAACAGTACAACGCATTTTCTGTGATTAGTAATGTACAGGTGTATCGCGTACATGCGATCATTAACACGCCAATAAGTCACAATTTTTGAAAACTTTCAATAGGTTGCCTAGGTAATTCCCAATTTTTTGGCCCAAAATACGGAGTGACATAGAAAGCCTTCTTATGCTTTTTCTTTGACCTGAAATGCAGGCCACGTTAGCATATGGATATTAATATAAAAAATACATATGAAATTCAGACTTACTTTTTTATCGAAAGTTCTACTGGTTTCGAAAATACGCATAACGGTTTTCCAATTTTCGAGAGCCAACTTGGGTCCACAACTGTGATACCTAACATAAAAAATAGTAATTAAGTTATAGAATAAAATTGGGACAATTTACCTACTCAAAATAAGAATACCTTTCATCCAAACTTTGTTTGTCTTATGCAATTCCTGATAGACCACGTAGTCCGACGGTTTTTCATGGTATAATACGGAAGAAGAATGCACAAAAACATCATCATCCGACCACATTGTTTTGTAGGCAACATTTCTCGTAGAAGAGAATGTTCTAGTCGTATTATCTATTAACCCCTTGCGCACAGCAACTTGGTCTATAAATCCGGCCGCAATAATCTGTCGCAAAGCTTTAAGCTACACGCAGAATGATTTTATTAAATCATTTGTTCGCAAATTCTACAATGAATATATTGAATCCCGAAAAATTATACCTGTAAAGCAGAGGGTGGCTTCATCTTCGGGTCCACAAAGACGTTTGTGTCGGGACAATTATTGTTCACAATATTTGTGAGTTGCCCCCTCAATTTGTGTATTTCTTGCATGGCCTAGGAATTAGCTAAAATTACTAAAGAACTTTAAATCCATATAGTCTTTGTGCGTCACAATATTTACCTTTGGCCTGACAAAATTATTACCACAAAATTCCTCTGTACCTCCCGCATATTCATAAGCACCAACGACATTTAATAATTTTAGTAAATCACTGGTGGGTTCAAGTCCGGCATGTTTCTAGTCAAAGGAAAAGGTCGCGTCAAATGAATTTCGTTTATTTGATCCAAGGAAACGTGATTTATGTTGTTCATTCACCTTCTGAACATTGTAAAACTTTGATTTGACCAACTTTCGACGCTCTTTTTGATATGAATCATCATTTTGGATCACATTTAACTCCTTTCCATAGATATCCTCGTCATCTTTGTCATCATCCTCTTCATCGGAATTCTCGAAATCCACATGATAATCTTTTATGAAAGGATCTCCAACAGATATTGTCGACACAATTGCAATTATATAAGGCAGACAACCGTGTTGCTGGCCGGTGATCAACATTTTCGAAAATCTGGGACTAATAGGGAAGGCCGACATTGTGCGCCCGAGATCTGTAATTCGTCCTTTGTCATCTAATGCGCCCATGTGCTTCAACATCATCTCTGCTTTCCTCAGTTGATCACGATCGGGTGGGGTGGGAAAAGGGAAGTTTGCGACATTATCAATATTCATGGACTTCATCTGTAACACGACCCCTTCAATTGGCATTCGATGGATTTCAGGGGTCGTGTACTGTTGAAATTGGTCGTTATAAACGGCCGATGAATAAAGACGATAGCAATGACCCGGACTTGTTCTCCCCGCACGACCGGCACGTTGGTCCGCCGACGACTTTGAAGTCCAAACGATCTCATAAGATTGAACACCCGTATTAACATCATACTCTCTCTCTTTGACCTTCCCGCAGTCGACAACGTATTTCACACCAGGGATGGTCAATGAAGTCTCGGCCACGTTAGTGGCAACCACGCAAAGACGGGTTCCTTTGGGCGGCGTCTCGAAAACGCGTAATTGTGCGCGAGTAGGGAGCAAAGAGTACAACGGAAGAACGTGGAGAGGATCATTTGAATCTTGAGTTGTAAATCGAAATTAAATCCTTGAGCGTTAACAGATAAAGGAGGAAACAAACATGCATGCATGCATGCATGGCTGAATATTATACCTTGGACATCTTCTAGTTCACCATAATCAAATTCGCTGTCCGATTCTTCAGAGTCAGTATCAAAACTCGGAGAAATGTCGTCATATTCCGGTTCATTTTCACCAATATCAAGCTCTTCAACCTCAAGATTTGCTGATAAAGACAAACAATAAATATAAGATTTAGACCAAAAGAAATAGCCAAGTGTTGTGCTAACTAACTTTCTTTGGAGGTAAATTTTTCATTAGGTTCTTCATTTTCTTCTCCCGCCGACACTTTTTCGGACGATAGTTTATTTCGCTGATTTGTGGTCAACAGGGGAAACTTTTTTCGAAGTTTCTTACACAAGACTGATATTTCATTCTGCCCGGTTAAAAAAACGAGTATTCCTGAGAGAAAAAATTTTCAAGTTATCATGTTTCCTAATATGGTTCCTTAGATAAAGTTCTAATGTAGCGTTCAACTAACCACCGTACGGAAGCCTCGTGTGAATTTTGCAAACTTTTTTGTATGCTTCTGTAACATGGTCAATACGCGGGGTTCGTTTGTTAAAATGAATAACCACCTGGAAATAGATGAACGGGCTAAATTTAATTCGTGACCTCCATGAGTAAGGGAAAACGAGCATTCCTTACAGGAAACTGGCGTGCGTTAACGTTAATAACCGGAGGAGGAATGTCAAACAAATTCCTATTTTCTGTAAAATCGGTAACGCGTAGAGTTGCCGACATTATTATTACTTTTAGTGGCTAAGAGGAAGAAGAACGGAAAGGTGAACGTCGTAATCTAAGGAAACTTTTATCAGATGTAAGCTTAAGCACCAACATTGACTTTCGAATTCTTCTCTTCGCTCAATTCTTTCCGTAATCGCAGTACTCGACTAATCACGCCAATCAAGATGTCCGTATTTAAATTCCTTTCGTGAGCTTCATCGATCACAATGACCGAATATTTTGATAACAAAAAGTCGTTGGAAAGTTCACGTAGTAAAACGCCGTCGGTCATAAATTTTATGACAGTCTTTGGTGAAGTGGACGCGTCGTAGCGGATCTAAAGGAAAACAAATAATAAAGAACGTCGGACCATTGTAACCCAGAAAAGTAATAATACCCAATCAGCCACGTGGATCGATCAATGCCAACCTGATATGAGACTTCTTGCTCGCTGAGTGACAATTCTTGTGCAACTCGTTTCGACATGCTCACTGCGGCAACACGACGAGGTTGGGTAATGCCGATAATTCCAGGTTTACCTTTTGTAATTAAATATAGCACATGAGATAACGAAAATTGGAAATTTGGGGAAAATTCGGGTGAATTCATAAGTACCGCTCTCCGGGTTTCCATATCCGGCCTCATATAAAAACTGAGGTATTTGGGTGGTTTTTCCTGAGCCAGTTTCACCACATATAATTACAACTGAATGGCTACTTATGGATTCCATGATCACTTGTTCTTCGCCGTAAATAGGCAATTCCATTCTTGCCGTCTGTATCTTCGTGCTCCTTTTTACGGGAACATAAAAAGCCTTAAATAAAAGGTAATCTGCAAATTAGAGATATAGACATTATATTTGGGCCCTTCGATTGGTTCCGAAGAGTGTAATGAAATAATCTAAATACTTTTTTCACAGGCATTGTTTGATCCTTTTCCTTTTTCTCAGGCTTATCGACTTCATTACACCCGCCCGCTGTAATATCAACACCATCTTGAAGTGCTGAATCCTGTCTATCAGGTATCCTTTGTGAATCAATCTCTTGAGTGCCAATAGCGAGAACGGTGGTTGATGAGTCATCGTTACTAATTCCCATTTGATCAATTGCCCATTCTTTGAATGATTGTCTTTTCGTGTTCGAGGTCAATTCAGGCGGCTCCGGATTTTCCTCGGGTGGATCTGTATCATCATCAGTGTCAAATTGTGAATCGGAACTATCGAACGAATCTTCATCTTCAAGAATTTGCTTCGTCTGTTTTCCTTTTGATCTTTTGATTTTCTTTTTTTTCGTTACAGGCATCACAAGCTCTCCATCCGGACCACGTTTCAAAGCACTCCCGATGAACGAACGCTGTGCATTTAGAGGGGTCTCGGCGATCGCCTGTTCTAAAACGGAATGCGTGTTCTTGTGATTTGATGTATCTTTGTCTAAATTCGTCCGAGTATCAGCGGACTCTTGATCCACAAACAGCGGGACACTGGGATCGGATTGAGGCAAACCGAGGCGTCTCTCGTGAAATGCTCTGTGAAGTTTTTCTTTCATCGTGTCTTTCTGTGAACAAATGTTCCATTTTCAGCCATTGAGAAGAGTAAAAGCCAACAGATTTGTTCATTTGATATAATTAACACACCTTCCTTCCCAAATTTCTACTTGACTTCATCAATTCCGAGGAGAAAGAAGATTTCGACAGTTGTTCCAGTAAGACATTGCGTTCTTCTTTTTTTTGCTTCTTTAGCTGGTTTCCGTGAAATCGCGACATTAAAAAAAAATGAGTGCATGGTTAATTCGGAGGTTGTGGTGTAACTTACCAAAAATCTTTCAAACCTCTTCTTTTTCTTGCTTGACATTTTTTTTAGATCCGTTTCATCCATTTTGCAATGGAGCAGTGGAGCAGGCAGTCCTTTGAAAAATTTTTATCTGATCTACGATAAAAAAATTATTCACGTGGACATTAGCTTAGAAATAACGTGATCAATAAATATATTTATTTCATAATTTTAGTAAAACTTCCAATAGGCTGGCCATAATAATAATATCGTTATTATTTTAATTAAAAAAAAAAAAAAAAAGACTTGTGAGCTGGTATATTTCCGTGGTCGCGGATTACCGTTCAGACATCAAGACGGATTCAATTATTTTTATTCTGTTTAACAATGGCGCAGCATTGTAGGGAAACAAATTATTGTTCATCAGTCTTTGTATGCTCTTTCTTAATTCAGCAAATAACTCGGTCACCCTGTCCAAACTACTTGGTCCCCCCTCGGCAACCATGTGATCGTCGAATTCCACACATTGAACTTGAAATTCCTTCATGTCGTGTTCAAGATATTTACAGTAGATGAGAAAAAATTCTAAAAAATTGGTTTCATTGGAGATAAGAAAATCCAAGATCGTTGAATGTTCAAAGCCAATGGATTTCAGGAATCTTAAAAAAATGTGATGAGGAGCGCAATAATTTAGGAAAAACTCGAGTTGGGTAGAAATTCCCTCCGCTAGCCGCCTAATGTAATTAGAGTCAACGTTTCGCTTGGTGTTCGTCGAAAAATAGATCATATCAAAAATGGGCAAACCTTTTATCACGTTCCATATCACTGTGGTCGACTAATAGCTTACCAAGTTTCTTGGATCGCACCATCAGTTTTACGATGTTGTTCATAAAATTCACTAGATCATCGTCACTATTGATATACCAATTGAACGCGTAATCCACGAAGTCGGTGGACGGGAGAGATACTAAATAATGTTATTAGAACGCGTAAAGGTAAAGCAATTCAGGCATGAACGATCGATCGTGCTAATCGCTCACCTTTGCATAAACTTATTATCTCTGATATCACGTAACAATAATTATCGGTGGATATGTGGTCACACGCCATCTCATTTTTTATCAGTATGTCGGCCAGCGAAATAAATGACGAGAGATAGATGTTCATTAGCTTTTTGATTATTTCTAGACTCAAGCTAAACTCTAATCCACAACTATCAAGGTAATATTCATGAAATATAAATTCGGTATAGTCAACAGCAGGTTCTAGCAAATTCTTAAGGTGATCTCTGTCCGGGCTGGTCATTATTCGTTGCGTGTATTCAAGGACGCCGGCGAGACTCGCGATTATCTAAAACAATGCAACATTAAGGTCACCTCCCGAAACATTCTCCGAACGAATGATTCACAATAACTCTGCTTACCACTCCAACATTCTTTCCCGATTCCGTAACCAGATGTAAAATATTCAAAACTTTTCTATTTATTGGTTGATACTTGTGGTTCAATAGAGCGATCACCTAAGATGATTTCGATGTGAAGGGATTAGTGATAATAATATTGTGACATAACAATAACGATAAAAAAACACTTTGTGATTAAATGAGATCCAATTACATGCGATATGTTGGAATCAATTTTTTCCGAGAGACTCTTTACTGAATCTGCAAGATCATAATCTCTTTCGGTATCAATAATCCTATCCAATTTTTTTATATCATTAAATATTACGAGACTTGAAACCGGAATTCCATAGTAAAAATCAGAATTCATCTAAAATTCAATCAATAATAGTATTCGATGAAACAAAACTAAAGAAGTGATCATCATACATTAAAGGGTACTTGCATACCTGAAGGAAAATCTTCTCGATAGTGAATTGATCATCCAGCAAACTTAGTAATTGAATTCCAGCATGTTGTCTCAAATTCTGTCCATAGTCATCATCACGTAAAGAAAGCCGTTGGCGAAAATCTTTCAGAACTCGATGAAATATTTCCAGAACCGCTTCCAAAGTGCGCATGCAAGTTCTTTGTTTATCTTTCGCAGACGTAGAATATATATCATACAGATTTGAGAGCAAGCGTTTCTGAATTTCAGATACATCGAATTGATCTAAAACGATCTATACTCAATATTAACGAATGTCGATTTGTTTCGACAAAGAAGAGTTTTTAAATCGAAAAACCTCTTTATTGGAAGTAATCAAAAGCCATTGAGTTAATAGCTTTTGAGTCGCGTAAACAACAAATTCATCCTCGCTCTTTAATAACCGAGTCTGTTTTAAGTGCAAGGAAAAAAAAGGATCAGATAAATTTACTCGAGGAATCTCTCGGTCATTGGTGAAGTAGGTGATCATGTACCAAAAAAAGTTGTTCTTTCACTAGCTCTTTACAATCAAGGAAGTCGTAATTTTCTGAAATTATTTTATCCTCATTCTGGTAAAGTTTTACCAGCGCTCTATTAAACTTGCTAAGTGCATCCAAGATTCTATCTCTATGGCCCGAAGCATGTTTGACGGCCTTAAAGTATTTAGAAATTAGGTGAACTACTTGTTCTGCGTTCCAAGATTTACAATTTTTACCTCCACAAAATCCATGTATTTGATAATCTACACTGATACGTAATCTGTTACGTTGGCACGTATTTCAACAGTATGTATTAGACGATCAATTGAAGTTTCATTATAAATATCGATCTCACAACATTTCTTTTACGTATCCACTAGACATTATATTATAATGGAGGGCTCTTATGATCGCGGTGAGGCTCTTTGCCTCTTCTCGTTGTTAATTCGCCGAAAATGAGCTAGGATATTGATCCTTCTTTTTCATTATAGCTTTGACCGTTTTCTCGCCGGACGGGCACCTTTTTCAAGTGGAGTATGCCTTAGAAGCTGTTAGAAAGGGTACCTGTGCGGTATGCAGAATACATCAAACGTTTTACAAAATTAAGCTGGAAATCGCAAATTCAGAATGAACAAAGAAAAAAAAAAGAACGACTGTACAACCTATCAGATTAACTCTTATTTCCCTTGAAACACACTCATTTTCATTGAACGTTCGACATGAATGTAAATCTAGGTGGGAGTTCGTGGAGAAGATTGTGTGGTCCTTGGTGTGGAGAAAAAGTCGGTTCTCAAATTACAGGACCCGCGTACGGTGCGAAAAATAGTCATGCTTGATGATCATGTGTGCATGGCCTTTGCTGGTAAAAAATTTTCCGCTTTCATTTGACCCCATCTGATCGATCGTGATGCTAAAATCACTCCTTACCAAAGGTCTGAGCGCGGATGCAAGAGTACTCGTAAACAAAGCCCGGGTAGAATGTCAAAGTCACCGACTCACCGTAGAAGACCCCGTGACGATCGAATATATTACACGTTACATTGCTGGTGTTCAACAGGTATGTGCATCCTCCCGTTCACGAACTTTCAGAACGTCTATCTAATCCAAGAACTCCTTGCACACAGAAATACACACAGAGCGGCGGTGTCCGCCCTTTTGGTATTTCAACACTTATCATTGGATTTGACGCGAACGAGAAAATACCGAAACTTTATCAAACCGACCCGTCGGGAATATACTCTGCTTGGAAGGTACTATTAAAGTTGTCAAATGGGTGAAAGAGAATTTACAATTCGAATTTATGCCCCCCTTGTAAATACAATTCAGGCAAATTCAATTGGCAGAAGTTCAAAGACCGTTCGCGAATTCTTGGAGAAAAACTACAAAGACGGTTTGACTAAAGATGAGACCATCAAGTTAGCAGTTAAATCATTGTTGGAGGTCCGCATTTTTTTTTTTTTTCAATGTGTTTGCAAAAATTGCCGTTCACCAACAAATCATGTTTTTAAGGTTGTACAAACAGGCGCGAAAAACATTGAAATCGCGGTCATGACCGCCGATGGTGATAATAAGGTACAAAAGAATGCGAAACTCGGGATCTTTTCATTAAATTTTCGCGGTGCTTACTGACATATGACATGACAGAACTTGGAAGTCGAAGAAGTTGAAGCTATCGTTAGCGAGATTGAAAAAGAGAAAGAAGCTGAGGCGGAAAAGAAAAAGAAAATATCAACTTCCACCAGCTAATAATGGCTACTTGAATTTCATCGGATAAGTTGACCATCTGACTGACCGCCGAGAGACACCATTAGTATGTTACGGTTCAATCCTTGAAAACTTCGGACTTGAAAAAGAATCAAATAATCATGTTCTATTAGCAGCAGGGACATACGAATTTGAACATGTCACGATCGATTTAAAAGTTACAGATTATCCGATGTATTTGACATCTTAGATAGATTAATATTAATTTATCTTTTTTTGTTTTCCAAAAATATATATATACTGTTAAATTATAAAGTTTAATTTTCTGGGAATTGTCATTGTATATTCTCACTTGAGAAAAATCATAAATTGGTGATGGAAATTTAAATTGCCTAGGCTTTTGTTTTTTAATAAAAAAAATGTATTTCTATCATTTACTTTACATTTAGCAATAAAGTGTATTATTAAGTCTTATATAGATATAATTTAATAAATAAATTCTCTAATAATTAAAAGAAGAATAAATATTCTAATAGAATAAATCTTATTAAAATAAAGTTTTAATCTTAAAAAGTTGAATGAATTTTTTTTACGTTTTTAAAAAAAAAAAAATTTTTTTTTTTATAAAATATTATATATTTTTAGATATTGTATATATAGTTGCTTTCAAAGTTTGAGTATACTTACTATGTTTTTATTATCAATTTTTAAATCCTTAATTATATAATCAAAAATT